CCCCGGAAGACGTTGTTCATCATCCGTTGGTACGTGGCGCCGGTGTTCTTTAGGCCGAAGGGCATTACATTGTAGTAATAGTTGCCCGACACTGTCATGAAGGCCGTGCTCTTTTTGTCGTGCTCGGCCATCGGGATTTGGTTGTACCCCGAGTATGCATCCATAAAGGACAAGAGCTTGAAGCCCGCGGAGTTGTCGACGAGTTTGTCGATGTTGGGGAAACGGTAGGCGTCCTTAGGACATGCCCGATTGAGATCACTATAATCAACACACATGCGCCATTTTCCATTATTCTTTTTAACGAGTACAACATTGGACAGCCAGGTTAAATACCGGGCTTCCGAAATAAAATTTGCCTCTAGGAGGTTTTCTACAGCCTTTTCAGCCGCCGCCAACTTTTCGGGGGACTGTCTATGCCTACGTTGTACTACGGCCTTCGCGGTCGGGTTGATGGACAACTGATGGCAGGCGACCTCGGGGTCGAGTCCGGGTATTTCTGCGGCGCTCCAGGCGAAGAGGTCGGCGTTCTCGCGGAGGCAGGCATGTAGCTGTCTCTTCGCTAAGTCTGGGAGTCTGGCTCCGATCTTCACGGTTCTGCTCTTGTCGTCCCAGAGCGTCACGATCTCGAATTCACCGTCTGGGATGGGGCGCGCTGGGTGGGTGGCGGCCCGTTGGGCTGGTTGGCTTCGTCGGCCTCTTCTTCGTGGTCCTTGGCGAAGCGGCTGTCGAGGTCCACGGATCCAACGAGCTCCTTTGGTTCGCTCTTCGGCGTCACAGTTGAGGTTGCCTTCTTAGTTGCTGGAGCGATGGTGCTCAAGCCTTTCAGCGTGGCCTCGAAGCACCTCCGGGAAGCCTCAATGTCCCCGTTCAGGGTTACCACGGCCCCCCGCCTCGTGTAGTACTTCATTTTTAGGTGGACGGTGGAAGGCACTGCGGTGAGTTTGGCCATCATCGTCCTGCCCAGGATACAGTTGTAGAGGGACGGGCACTCGATGACTAGGAAGCGGATATTGATCTCCCTGTCAGTTTCCTCTTCCCCGAATGTGACTTTCAGTTCCACGTATCCCTACGGTCTTGTGGTCGTCCCATTGAACCCTTGGAGGTCGGAGCCCACGTAGGGGGATAGGTTGGATTCGTCGAGTTGGAGGGTCGTGAAGAGGTGAGTGTATATGATGTCCACTGAGCTGCCCCCGTCAACGAGGATGCGCCTAACATCAAAGTTCACCATCTGTGCCCGTATCAACAAGGGAATGTTGGAATTGGGGGAGCCCCCGGGGAGTTCCTCGAGGTAGAAGGTGATCGGGTTGGATCGGCCGCGAAATATTTCGAGTGTGCTCATCTTACCGGAGTTGCTCGTGATAAGTTCTTCGAACTTTCTTTTCACCGATCCTACAAATAGGTTCCTCGAAGAGCCTCCGGAGATGACCATGGCTCTTGGGAAGTATTCCCATCGATTGATGGGTCGTACCGGTTCTTCATGCAGGTCAGGGTCGTCGGGGAGGCCGAACTCTCTATAAACGAACCAATCCTCGGGGCGGCTGACACATACAGCGACCTGGAGTCTGTTAACACCGTCCGAAGAGGGGAGCTCTTCGACTTTCTTGGCCTCGGGAGCTTCTGACCTCGGGGTTTCTCCCCCCCCGGGTGTATCTCTTCAGGTGGTCGTCCTTAATCAGGATTTCGATCGCGTCCTTGAGATGGATGCAGTCTTCCGTCACGTGCCCGTGGCTCCTGTGGAAACGACAGTATTTCGATTTGTCCACATTGGGCTTAGGAGGTGTCGGCCTGGGGAAGCAGACACCTCCCTGGATAAATTGGGTCTTGGCGCATTCGGCCAGTATGCGCTCGCAGGAAGCGACTAGGGCCGTGTATTCTGTGAATCTGCCGACGGAGCCACGTTGTTCGCGGGGGCGATCTTCCCGTCGGCGATCATCTCCACGCCGGTGGCTCGAAGATCCGTCATCTCGGTGCCCGCGGGGGGTCTCCCTGTCTCGCGTGTCTCGGGCGGAGTTGGCTGCTTGAGTTTCCTCGAACCGGATATAATGTGCGGCTCTGTCGAGGAAGTCCTGAAGAGATGATGGTCGGTGTATTCCCATGGCCTCGTAAAACTTGGAATCGCGGCGCAGGCCCTTCTCCATTAAGTAACGCTTCATCTCATCTGACGTCGTTACCTATACTGCCTCCCGTGTGAATCTCTCGATGTATTTCCGGAGAGGCTCGTCGGGAGCTTGGATTATTACGCCGAGCGCGGCTTCCTTCTTCGGATGGCACCGGGATGCTATGAAGTGTTTCGAGAATAGGTGTTTTAGGACCCTCCACGACGTAACCGATTCTGGTTCGAGACTCTTGTACCACGTCATGGCACCCTTCCTCAGGGTCGTCGGGAATAGTCTGCATTTGATAGCCCCTCGAACATTTCGGTAGTCGAGCATGGCCTCGATGTCTTCCAGGTGATCGTCTGGGTCGGAGGTGCCGTCGTACGTCGAGAGCGTCGGGGGTTTTTCCATCCCGTGGGGAATGGGGGCGACCATGATTTCGCGGGACAGGGGAATCCTGTAGTCATCTTCATCGCTGAGAGTGGGTGACTGAGGGGGGGAAGATCCATTTGGCAGAGGCACTTGGTTTCAGGTCCTCGGCCTCCTGACTGAGGGGTCGATGCGGGGAGGCCCGGTCGGGGGCCCTGCTCTGGCTTGTCGTCTCTGACGAACTTGTCTCGGTGGGGACCTTGTCCGTTCCCGCACTGCTTCGAGATGGGGCCTCTCCAGTCGAGGTCGTCGATTTCTGGGTTGAGGCGAGGGACTCCTCGAGTTCCCGTTCTGGTCTTCCCGCGGGGGGACCTCAGTGGGACCTCGCATTCTAGCGCCCCAATCCGTGTGTTCTGCTGGAATAAAAGCTGGTTCATTTGGTGGGTGGCCGCGAAAAGGGCGGTCGTAGTCGGATCAGCTCCGGCCGGGACAGGGACTGGCTGGAACGCTGCTGGGCTTCGGGGTCGGAGGGCTGCCTGGTGCGCGTGTTTCGCGGACGATGGAGACGTAGTCTGGCCGTCCCTCTCGTCGGTTTCCGCTGGGCGGGACGTCTCTGTTTGTTTACCACCGTTTGCGGCGGGGGTGAGGGAGAAATCATGAACGGTATCATCGTGGTGTGGGCTAGCCATGATCGTGGAGTGTTGGTGAAACTTTGGTTCGCTTGCTCGGAGGAACAGGGAAGTTTCAGTTTCCCACAGACGGCGCCACTGATCTGTCCTAATCAGAAGGGGATCACGGGCTGGCCACACTCTATTGGACTGCTATCTGTTCACCGGTGATGAGGAGGAGGAGGGGGTGTACCTGCAAGACACTCCGATGCTAAAGTAAGTATATGGTCAAAGTGATCACAAGTACAGAAAAAGGGGTAAGAAGTGAATTACCTGACCTTGTTGTGAAAGAGGGTCACTTGTGTTGGGCTAGATTGCCAGGCCCAACCCAGGTGATTGTTAGGGCTTACATGGCGTAGTGAAGACCAGAACATGGTCTTCGCCCTAGTCCAACTGTCCCTTGATCTCCGGAAAGTGGGTTTGACCTGCTCTTTCGGAGGTGGGCAGTTGGTTGGTGACGTGTCCCTATGAAGGGGAGCACGTGGAGAATGTGTAAAGGACGTCGTCCAGCCCGACAAGATGCGGGTTCTGCCCGCGAGGGGCAGGTCTTGCCCGCGGAAGGCAATGTTTGGTCGAGCGGGGAGTCTCCTGCCCGACGTAGTTGGGGCAGGCCTTCCTCGCAGGGAGGCCTTTCTTGCTTGTTGGGGACCTCGTGCCCGACGTGGTGCCCGAACTGGACTGGGCCTGGTGGAACATTATTGGGCTGGGCCCGCATGGTCAGACCGGGGCCCAGGCCATAACAATTTCCTTTCCCTGCGTAGGGATAAATAACGTTCAGTGGTGACTCTTCAGTTTTTTCCGCTGGGCATTTTTCGCAGTTGCGACAGAAAGGAAATTGGATGCTACCATCAAAAACTAAGTACTATCATTTACTCCAATCAACCTACTTTTATGATAATTCACTCCAAGGCCGAATACTAGCTCGAAGCTCCTCAACATCGCCTTAAGACTTCAAATATTCTTTCAACCTCCTTCCCCCACCATCAAAGTGTCGACTGCAAATTGAATAACTTCAACTAAAATTTCATCATCTACTCTAAAACCTCTATACTCTCCTATATCGGTTGCTCTTTTAGTCAATCTAGTTAATCGCTCCGCTACAATCACAAAGAGAAACGGCGATAGCAGATCTCCCTACATCAATCCTCTCTTGATCTCGAAATCCTTCATAGGACTCCTGTTAACAAGAATCGATAAATGCCCCCTAAAAACACAAGCATTCATCCAATTTTTGCCAAATCTCATTCTCAACAACAAAAACCTAAGAAAATCCCAATTCCCATAATCATAGGCTTTTTCAAATTCTGCTTTAAACATGACACACTCCTTATTCTCCTTAGAATCAAGATCAATCACCTTGTTTGCAACAATGACACCATCCAAAAACTATCTCCCGGGAACAAAAACGGATTGATTATTAGAAACTAACCCTCCAATGACCTTTTTAAGTCTGGCCGCAAGTAAGTTTACAAGGATTTTGTATAAACTACTCACAAGACATATGGGTCTATAATCACTTAGCTCTATTGGGTTATCAACTTTCAGAATTAATGTTAAGAAGGAAGAATTTACAACCTCGGGAAGATACGCATGATGGTGGAAATATTTCACGAAGAAGAAAATATCGCTCTTCATAAAATTCCAACACTTCTTCAGAAAAACAAAATTAAAACCGTCTCGACCGAGGCTCTTTGAACCGTCACAACTCCATATTGCATCTCTACTTTCTTCGTCCAAGAAAGAAGCCTCAAGAGAATTCACATCCGCAATAGTCAGGCTGATAAAAGACATATTATCAAAGACCGGTCTTTCTAATTCACTTTTAGAAAAATTCTTAACAAAGCACTCTCTCACGACATGATTCACTTCAAACACAGATTCGACCACACCAGCTTAAGTGTTGACAGAACTTCGAGTTAATGTCTCCCTCCCTATTCCACTTAACACGAGCCTTCTGAAAAATCATGTTATCTTTGATATGTAAATTATGCCAAACAACTCTACATGCCTCTGATCTCTTCAGCACCAAGCTCTCCACCTCTTCGTTTGCTGCAGACATCAATGCTAAATCAACCCCATTGATGACATCCACTTCCTCCTCCACCTTAAGATCATACCATCCGAAGAATTCTTTACTCCATAATTTTAGGTCACCTCTTAAAAGCTTAAATTTCTCTTTTAGGACAAAATCACTTCTCCCCGAAACCCTGTAATTCAACCACTTTTCTTCCACAAATTTGAGGAACAAACCATATTCAAACCAAATGTCATTGGTTTTGAATGGTTTAGGACCCCAACTTTTCGGGCTAATCTTCAACCAGATTTGACAATGGTCGGAAATATCTCTTTTCCCAATAGATTGACCCATCATTCCCCATTTGTTTATGAAAGAAGCATCCACTAAAAACCTGTCGATTCTGCTCATTGCTTTGTCATCACCACTGAACTAAGAAAAGCGATTACCTGAAATGGTAAGATCGACCAATCCCAGGTCCTCTACAAATTCATAAAAATCCCTTATCCTCATTGATCTGTTCAAGTGAGATACACCCTTTCTTTCAGCAACATTTGTTATTATGTTAAAGTGTCCACCCATGATCCAAGTTCCATCTGACTACCTCCTTTTGAACCCTTTTAATTCCTTCCACAACTTACATTTCGAAGAAATTGAACATCCAGAATAGATGTTAACAATAATAGAAATTTTCCTTCCACAACAATTTAACTCCAACAAATCCTTCCCCTCTGAACAAAAACACAGGGGAGAAAGAATTCACATTCCACATGTGTAGCACCCCCAAATTTACCCATCTTTTCTCTTGAGTATTAGCTTATGTTTCATTGCATTCTCATATTTATTTTTCATAGCATTGTTCTAGACAAAGGATCAAGGCATTATGGTTTGTTTCTTAAGATAGGAGGAACATGTTTCTTCAATCTCAAGAAAAGTTTTCTTCTTGACCTTTATGGTATTCTCAAGCTTCCAAAGGTCCCTCATCATCAATTATGATTCAAGGAAACATCATTTCAAGATTATATGTGGTTCATCATGCCTTGGTTTGCAAGAAATCATCAAGAGATTCAAGTTTGGTTCAAGGTGTTTGACCTAATTTAGCAATTTGTGGATGCTATGATCAAGTGGGCGCAACTTCTTCATTTTTCAACATCTTGAGGTGGTTCTTTTTCTATTGAACTCTTCTCATCATCCCCTACAAGTTCTCACTGCAAGGAATAATCCAATTATGCTTGGAAAGTCACCAAACGTTTGAAGACATTATAGATCATTTTGAGTTTTGGAAGGATTTTCTAGTCAACTTCAAAAGGTCATAACTTGGTCAATTTTCATCATTTGGAGCCCATATTTTTCTAAAATGAACTTGAAAATTTCCTCTACAACTTTGATTCAAGGTGGAAGTGATAAAAACATGTGGAAGGCCTTGGTTTTTATCAAAACTTTATATGTCATTTTTGGTCCCTAAAAAGACTTGAAATTTTTCTAAGTGTTTTGCAATTTTAAACCTTTTCATGCAAGCTACTTTGAAGAATCATATCTCTCAACTCAGATTTTAAAATTAATAGTTTCTTTTCACATTGAAAAGATTGTATCATCCTTTATCCAATGAAAGAAGAATCATCTCAAAAAGCCTCCTACATTGTGAGAACCATGGTGGCAAATTTTGAATTTCAAAGCTGAAAATCCACATCAAGTCAAAACTGAATTTGTTTGAATTGGCCTCTAATCACCAAATCAAGCCATGAATTCAATCTAAACATGATTAAAAAACTTTCCAGTGTTGATTAGAGCCTTGAAACACAAGTTTTGAGTGAGTTTTGATAGTTTTCAAGTCACACTTTGCTCATACTGTAAGTGTGCACGAATTCACTTCAATTTGCATCATTCACCATCCCTCAATATTCAGAAAGCTTCTCCTATAAATAAGGGGCTCATTCCACTCATTTTCACAAGCTTTGATAGCCAGATTCACCCTGCTGAGATCTCATTTGAACTCTTAAGCTTGAACTTCGAATTTTCATTTCCACACCTTATTCAGTGAAGCTAACCAGCTCAAGAACTTGAAGGACCGTGGCCTGAATAAAGCTTGAAGACTCCATTTTCAGAGCTTTGAAGTTGAACTTCAACAGGTATAATTCTTAACCATTTTAACTCAAATTTGTTGCTAAGATGATGTCCTTGATGTGCTGATGTTCAATTTTTAAATTCGTGTTTGCTTTCCCTTCTAGTTTTTTTCAAATTGAGTGAGCTATGGTTTAAAGAAATATGGCACGATGATATGGTTGAGATCATCTTGAAAAGACGCATTAGATGAAACCACTATGAGCTCCAATGGTTATGGTTTGAAGGACCTTCGAATTTATGCAATTCTCTAAGATTTTCAAGTGGTTGGAGGTTGAAGATGATGATCTCACCGTCCATCATGTCATTTGTTCTAATCTTGTGTGTTTGACTTCCGCTGGTTGGAAATGATGAGATTGACTCAGAACCACCGTGGATGTGCGCTTTTTGGCCCTTGGATTAGCCACGTCATTTAATGAGCTCAGATCCAACGCATCTTGTTTTTCTTTCTGTTTTTTTTTTCTATTTTGTTTTTAAATTCATTTTATTTTCAGAAATTCATTTTTAATCAGAAAAATACCATAATATTTTCTAAAATTTCCTTTTATTTTTATGCATTTTTATTTTTCCATTTGCTTTTTTTCTTGAATTTTAATTTGTTTGGACCAATTTTAATTAGTTTAAAATTATTTTAAAGCATTTTAAAATTATGAGAAAAATATTATATGATCCTAGGATGGTTTTGAACCTATGGTGATTTTTCTTTGATTTTTATTTCTGGTTTTTCTATTTTCCATGTATTTTTGATTTATTTGGCTAATTTTATTGGGTTTTAAATTATTTTTGAGCAATTCAAAATTATGAGGAAATTAGCATATGATCCTATGATGGTTTCTGACCTATGGTGATGTTCTTGGTTTTTTATTTGTGCTTTAACCATTTTCCATCCTTTTTTTAGGTTTTATTTGCCTTTTTATTTGTTTTTTTAATTGATTTTAATATTGCAATTTGGTGTGATACTATTTTTAATCCATGATGGAGTGCCTTTCTGTTTTTCCTCATGTCATTTGAGATCTTGGTGCTTGCTTGATTGTGGTTTTCTTTTTGTGGATGATTGTGGGGTTTGATTCTTCTTGAGGCATGTTTTTTATTCCCACTTGTGTGATTCCACTTGCATGATCCCTCTTGTGTGTTCATGGTTGAATGTCAACTTGTTGATCATGTTGATGTTGTGATCTCTTCTTATGCTCATGTCATGTTCATATGCTTTTCCCTTTGGGGATTGTTTGTATGCATGTTTGTTTGATATGATGTGGATTTGTGTATGAATGGTATGCATGACTTGTTGCCTTGTGCCCTCTTTGATCATTGATATGACTTGAGTATGTTGTGTTGTGTTTGCTGCCCTATCATGTTTCTTGTGCCACTTGACTTCATCTCATCTTGTATGAGATTGATCTGAATTTGTTTGATGCTTTGCTTTTGAACTTTCATGTATGTTCTTCATCTTGCATGCCTTCTTTCTTCTTCATCTTTGTTCTCTTTTTGGAACTTGTCTAAGTTTCATCCTTGTTTTCATTTGTGATTGAATTGATTAGTGTTTACTTTTACTTGCTCACATGATCCCTTAGAATTCCTAGCCCCTCTTAATTTCTGATTAAGATGGGAGTGGGAGAGACATTAGGCTTTCAATCCTTTGCATGATAGCAATTAGGATAGTCTCTTTCATCTCAACTTTAGGTTCATCATTTGTATGATAATATTAGATAGACTTCCTTTTCATCCTAACCTTAGGACCATTTTGTATGACAACATTAGGGTTTTCAGTTTCCCTTTAGTGTTTTATTTTGTGTCCTGTTTTCTCATCTCAAACAATCTTAAGACACTTAATAAAGAATGATGGACGTTGTGCGCCACGAGCCTTAAGTATATGGGAAATGATGAGTCGGGGGTTTCTCCTCACTTGACTAGAGTGTTTAGTGTATATCCTTTGGGCGATATGCGACACATTCGCTCCTATGTCATAGTCTTTAGTGCAACGTGAATCTCAAACAAATTCATCCTCACTTCACTAAAACTCTCAAACCAAAATCAAACCTTTTTATCCTTCAGGATTGTTCTCAAGTCACTTTCAGAAAAGAGTACGTTACTTTTTCGTTCTGTCGCAAACAAGCATCGATCCTAACTGTTGGAATAGGAACTTAACATCGCTCATAAAAGACACTTAACCAACCAGTGGTCTAGTTTACCCGAACTACGTTTGTTTTGATTTCTCATAGCAGATGAGGATACTTAGGCATAAGACGACGATGTCTTGGAGAGCAACCTTCCCCCCATCACCTGTAGTTTTCCGAACTACGTGGATCCCGTTGAGTACAACGGACGTGAGGGGTGCTCATACCTTCCCCTTTCGTAACCGACTCCTGAACCCAAGATTTGGTTGAGATAACCTTGTCTTTTTCTGTTCTTTTAAGTTTTCTTCGATCGTTTCCTTTCCCTCTCTTTGGGATAAATAACGTTCGGTGGCGACTCTTCTGTTTATTTCCACCGGCCCTTTTTGCAGTTGCGACAACATAGTTATAATCCCTCTTGATAATCCATTCGATTTGTAAAACGACCATCCCGCCTCATTATGCCTCCACAACCCAGAAATAACTTTAACATCAACCTCAATTAATTTTGATTCTTGGATAAAGAAAATATCAGCATTACCTGACTTAATTAAACAATGTATCCTCTTCCTTTTAGAATAATTTTCTCCCCCTCTGATGTTTAGAGATCCCACTATCATGGATCACCATTGTAGTTCGCCTTCTTAACACTTTTAATACCTTTACCCTTTGCATCCATCTCAACAATTTGAACCGAAAAATCCTTCTTACTATCTTTTGCCTTCACTCCCAATTTTGAAATCGCTTTACAAACCTTTGATCCTACATTTGATTCCATATTATCCATAAAGTATCCACATTTTATTACAAATTTAGTGTTGCAAATTTGGTGTTGCAACAAAGAACGACACCTTTTGAAAAATTCGTCGTCTCCTCCGAATTTGTGTTATGAATGGGAGAAGAAGAGATATTAAAATTCCTTTAATTTCATAGCAACGAAATAAGAAGGTTGAGAGAATTGTTCAATTGGATTATCAAATCCAATTGATCCAGATACCAAAGCCCAACAGCTTTCTTAATTTTGGTTTGGACTTCTTTTTCCAAAGAGGTCCACTTAACTCCACCATTTTTCTAAATTGTGTCTGTTTCTTCTTTGGACTCATACTTCTTTTAAAATCTACTACTTCGTTCTCTTTTATCTAAAGAAAACTTTCCTCTGACACCTTTTCAGCTGACCTA